GGGAGGGAAGAAGGGAGGGAGGAAGATAGGAATGAGAAGGAAGGAAGGATGGAAGGGAGGGAGGGAGGGAAGGAGGGAGGAAGGATGGGAGGCAGGGAGGGAAGAAGGGAGGGAGAAAGATGGGAATGCGAAGGAGGGAAGGAGGGTGGTAGGGAGGGAAGGAGGGCGGGAGGGAGGAAGGATGGAAGGGAAGGAGAAAGAGAGGGAGAAAGAAAGATGGGAACAGGAAGGAAGGAAGGAAGGAAGGAAGGAAGGAAGGAAGGAAGGAAGGAAGGAAGGAAGGAAGGAAGGAAGGATTTCCATACAGCCTCCAATATTGGAAAGGCCCCCTTGAGAGCAAAGGATACCCCAGTGGCCCCCAGTCACGAGGATCCTCCACCCAGCCACCCTTCCGGACAGCCTCCTTTGGCTGCCTTGAGCATCCCTCTCTCTGGGGAGGAAAATGGCTGGGGAGCTTGCTGCCCCCCCCCCCTTTGGTTCCTTGGGAATCTAACTGTGGGGCAGCCGGGGGTGGGGCTCTGCAGGAACCTCCCCCTAACAGGCTCTCCCTATTTCAATTTCATCTCCAAACAGATGTTTCAAGGGTGGGGGGGGGATTTCTTCAATGGGAATCATTCTTAAACGTACAACACAGACTTTTGGATCAGATAGGCATCTCTGGAATATTCCGGATGCATTAATAAAATGGCTGCCATGAAGCAGGCATGGCCTTTAACAAAACACCCGTCTTCTAGGAGACAAACTGCTCTCCTCAGGGAGCAATTCTGCAGCCCCACCCCAGTGAAAAGTAGGGTTCTAGAGGCTGTATGCTGGTGTGATTCCAGTATGCTGGTCTCTAGATCATTTTAAACATGAAATCAAAATAAAATTGATAGGACTGCAGGCCCCATATTGTCCACTCCAAATATTTAACACTGATTACATAAACTGAATTTTGTTTTCCTATCCTACAAAGCTTGTAGCAGCAGATACATGGGAAGGATGATATTTAGTTTATTTAAATTTATTAGAATTGATACGGTTGCAGGAACCGGGCCTGGCTAGTCTAGGGAAGAGAAGGGCCAGGGGAGACAGGAGAGCAGCCTTCCAATATTTGAGGGGCTGCCAGACAGAGGAGGGGGCCAAGCTATTTTTCAAAGCACCCAAAGGCCAGGCAAGGAATAATGGATGGAAACGGATCAAGGAGAGAGATTCAACCTGGAAATAAGGAGGAATTTACTGACAGGGAGAGCAACCAACCAATGGAACAGAAGTTGCCTTCAGAAGTTGTGGGAGCTTCATCACTGGAAGCTTTCAAGAAGAGATTAGACTGCCATTTATGAGAAATGGTGTAGGGTCTCCTGCTTGGGCGGGGGGGGGGGGG